ACACACACACATGCACACACGCACGCACGCACGTACGCACACAAGCTTACACACACACACACACACACACAGACACACACACACACACACACACACACACACGTATTGCACACACACACACATACATACATACACACTCACAAGACACACACACGCACACACACACAATATTTATACCATCATACACAAATATTGCCTGCCTTTTCTAGATTCAGGTAAAGGAAACCGAATCGAAAAATCTGTACGAATAGCAAAGTTTTTCTTCTTTCTTAAAATGCACCAAAATGAATGAATGCATCTTCAAGTATTTTAAAGAAACCATAACGCGCCACCTGATAGGGTTAATAATTATAACAAAACAATTATTGTATCTTGTGACACATGAAAACGTAGCCTAATGTTTGACTTCAACTTTTTGAGGTCATGAAAATGGAACAATAAATTACAAGCTTAGAAATCGTTTTATCGCAGTGATCACCACCACGATTCTGACCCAGTTCCAAAAGGCTACTGTTTCCACACCAGATACCAGAAAGTTGGAGAACAAGATTATATCTATCTATCTATCTATCTATCTATCTATCTATCTATCTGTCTGTCTGTCTGTCTGTCTGTCTGTCTGTCTGTCTGTCTGTCTGTCTGTCTGTCTGTCTATCTATCTATCTACCTATCTATCTATCTATCTATTTATCTATCTATCTATCTGTCACATTTTAAAAAATCTTCTTTCTTATGCTGACCATGGAGTATGGAGCGTACATGTGCTTTTAGAAATTTTCCGAAGATTGAATAACAGTCAACAGAAAAAATGTTGTTTTTTTTAATTAAAGAAAAAAAAAAGATATGTGATTGCTGTTATCTTTGCCATAGCACGAACCAATCAAAACCACGCACACGGCTATTATTAATAACAAAGAAATATGAGGTCTTCATATAATATATGTAACGCACAATTTTCGAAGATAACACAGATTTGATTCCCTCACAGAAGTCTGAATTTACCCGACGATGTTGGCGGTAATTTCTCTGTTAGCTTTTGCAAGTTTGGCAGAGGCCATCCCACTTGAAGAAATCAAGGTAAATTATAATTGTAAAACAGCGTGGTGAAATCAGACGCTCGTCAAAATAATGAAACTTACGAAACTGGCATTTTTTTTCCGCAGGTGTGAGAATTTTTATCGAATTTTTGTTAAATTTTTTTTGGGGGCTCAATACCTTTCATGTCCAAGAACATATTTCTGCGTGGAGAGTACTG